GTTTCTGCGACCACACAATTGACTGAGAGAATAACAGAATGGACACCAGAATTTACTAAAATCTTACATGAACAGCTCTGCATCAGTGCACAACCTTGTCGTTCATAGCAGCTCTATCAATAGGTTCCTGCTGGCGTTGACAGAAAGACCAACATTCCTTGGGATTATCATACCTTGTTCACAGATTTAATGGAATTTTACGCACAGTTAACTTGACATTGTCATGATATCTGGATGAAGAATAAACTCAATGGGTTTAATCGAATACGTTTACATGTACCAAAAATCTGCATTTGAAAAATTACGTGATACTTCCATTTAGGGAAATCACGATTAGGGATAGGGGGAGGCAGAACTAAAGCAAAACGACGTGTATTTGAGGAAATGAGTTTCAGAAATTTCCTCTTTTTATGAGTGAGACATTTTCGTATTTTGACTGGCACCACTGGCTCAGTGTTGATCGATCAGCTCTTCTTTCGCAGCTTTCCAGGGTTTTGTTGACTCGATTTTGATCAAAGTACATACCGCAGTTAACGAAAATGAATGCTAATTACGTGTTGTTCAAAATGAACTAAACAAGTGAGAATCAACTTTTTGATTTCTCAGTGATAGAAACAGTAAATGATTTAACCGCGCGTTAGCATCTGGAAATGATGTATTCATTTTCCTGATGTTTCATTCAGTTAGTTTTAAAATACCATTTATTCCATCCAATAAGAGTTTGCTTAAACAACAGCGAATAGTGCAAGTTTTTAAAATGTATCCGACGGTAAAATGTACCGATATTAAGGTTAGTCGTGAAGCGGGACATTTACGAGAACGCAGTACACACTGGGGCAATGTTGTGACTTCCCCAACCTCTGGGAACAGATAATTCTTCAAAGTATAAAATAAATGGATCAGTAGCATTGTTTCAATATAAGCATTTGTCTGGGCTGACTTGTATTACTCTCTCTCTCTTTGTGTATTGTTTGTACAAAATACGAAGTCTATTTTTACGATGTGTCGCAACTCAGATAAATTTCATTGACAAACGGTGTAGCCGTTATCTATAATACGCTAATCACATTATGGAACACGAAGTGGTCATTTAAATGTCGAGTAAGCCTGATCATCGTTGTTGTTCGCTAGAAAAAATATCGACCAGAGTACATTTAATGGAGCATTAGACAATAAATTTGATTTCATCCTTCTGCACAGTCCTCATTTCAGTCACTCGACCGTACACTCAGAAATGATGAAAACCTTTGTCGCTTTTTTCACCTCATCAGTAGTACACATCTACTCTTTGTTTTCCGAAAATTCAACTTTAGATCCTCGCATGGAGGCACGTGTTGGACCTCGAAAGTACCTCTTTGACTGCAATCGAAGCTACAAAACGGGGTTGTCATCATTACTCACTTTACCATCAGTATGTACACTGTAAGTCAAGTCAAGAATACACTTTGTTCATCAACTGTGGGCAGAATTTTCCAGTGAAAAAGAAGCGTTGTCACTTATGCTTTGGCGAACAAGCGGTCAAAATAGTCCCAAAGATATATTGCATTCAGTTAATAGGCAATGATGACGAAGAGCAAGGACGGGTAGTAAAAGTAGCATAAAATACATTTGACAGTCGTTCCCTGGAAACCAGTAAACGAGAAAAATGAGGTTGGGATAAGGTACGCAATTGTGGAAAGCTGTACTTTAAGTGTACAAAGGTTAAACTTTGTTGGAGGTGTCAGAAGTAGAGAACAAACGAGAGGGTTGGATTCAGAGGCACATGTATTATGGTGTTAACGGAAAATGGACAGTTCAATACCTAGATATTCTCTTTAAAAGCATCAGATCCATTTGTAATCCTTAGACGACAGACCGGGCAAGATAACAGGTGAACAGAAAATCCACTGACATTAAATGCACGAGAAAATAGATTTAGAAATTACATAAAGATTACATAACTCTGAGAATTGCTTGTTACACGTAAGATGATCATTTGAGTTCAACAGACAGAAATTCAGGGTATTCGCCATGGTGCCTTCTTTCAACGAGTAATAAAAAATAAAACATCAATAGAGTTTATTCGGTTTAGAGAAAGTTTAACACCATGCTACCAATCGGAAATGGAACTTAGAGCTAATTGAAGAGAGTTGATGGATGGGTTGCTGTTGGACTCCCCACCAATCACTGCGTCATTGGCACACTTCAATGTGAAAGCAGACGGGGCAATTGGAAGTTTTGAATGTAAAGTGAGGGAAACAAAAGGATAAAATTGCGCTCTGCAATGCACCTTGGTTTACACTAACTGTCATAGACATGAAATTAATAATACGCGTGAATAGGCGTCGGTCCGTAAAATAGTCATGCATTTTATTCAGCAGATGGAGCGGGAGGTTTCATTGCTGTGATTATGTCAATAAGGTGTGATCTATAAAACAAGAATCTGTCTGACAGTGGATGAACCCTTTCTTCAGCAAGAAGGTAAAGCATTAAAATGCGTACCACCGAAGGAATTGTGAACGCTGAATTTGCCGTGACCAATTTCTGTCCCGTGCAAATTGAATTGAACTGGAGGACAGCACATATCATAACAAAAGTTGAAATAATTTTTAAGGTTTTCACAGAAGACAGAAAAATCAGATCGAAAATTAATTTCAAGTTCAATCAGGCAACGACTAATTCCGTTTCCATCATATTTGGCTGATGAAGTTGTCGTGTACGTATCTTACATGCAATGTTCTTAGAGAGGATTTAGTGAATAAATTTACCGTGGCCGTGGCCGAAACATAGTTTAGATAGTACTTAAAATTACCCACTGATGCACGTTTAAAGGCACGTAGCATGATGGTTCATGAACGACAAGGTGATCGGAAAGAGGCATCACCCCCGGTGCAGAAACTAACAATGTAATGAAGAGACATTAACGTTAAGAAACTCACATCCGATCTGTTAAAATCGCTAACAACAATGAAGGCAGATGCGAAGCTCTTCTCCAAAATAATTGGATCCATGAAGGTAGATAACTGATCAGTCAGGGCTAATGTAAAGATCTGAAATGATGAATGAAGATAAGAGCAGGGGAAAACGTAATTTGAATTCCACAGAGATGCAAAAGATGTTATGTGCGCATTGAGCAAATGTGCATTTTACGGTGCCATAATACGATTAATGCACATCCATATGGGATGACAATAATGTCTTTTTGTCTTTTTTATGGGTCTATTCACACAAAATAAATCGAAGACTTCAATTTAAACCACTTCGACGTTAACCGATTCATGTACACGAGATTCTTGGAAAAATAACAGAACACTTTTGGAGCACTCTCCGTTGCGAATCAACAGACCGGTTTCTGATGGATTTGAACGAACTCAGCAGATATCAGGCGATGAAAAGAAAGAGAAACCAATTGTCTTCATGTTTCTGTGCATTAGCGCAACCTACAGCCAGCACAATGTAAAATCCGTTGAGAAATTGCATTTCTAGTGAGTGTTTCAACTTTATCTCTCCCAAAAGGAGCAAAAGCACATCAGGACAAACGAAAGAGAGATTAAGCTGAGCGCCTTGATGCTCACCTACTAATCAGTCGATATTCACCCTACTAAGATTCTGCCTTCTGTTTCTGTATGCCGCCCATTTCACGCGTTCCATTGACCCATGCCTATGACTCCCGCATTGATACCGGTTNTGAGCGCTTGCACACACACACACACACACACACACACACACCATTAAAGCGAAGCTTGTTCCAGTCTACTCGCTCCGTTGTCTTGTCCTTCTTAATTTTGAAAAGTTTCAGTATGCTGAATGTACGCTGCGATGCCATTTCTTTCACAGATGATCATTCGATTGATGCAGATTGCATAATGAGCACTATGGTCAATTTTGCGGTTGGATGACAAGCAGGGGCTGTTTCAAAGCACTTGAACGAAACCGGAGTGATTCGATGCTTTCCGGGTCCCTTCCTCGAAGGACTGTTAAAGCTAAACCGCACAATCATGCATGAAATAACTGAAAACATACAGTAGAATTGTTGTATAACGTTTCTTGGCGTTTCTTTTTAAATTCACTACGGGGAACCGTCGCTTCTAGCACTCAACTCTCATGGATTTGTGTGTACCACATAAGTGCACAGCAGAGCACACGCATACACACAAAGAAACACTACACTGGAGGCTTAGTCACGCTGATTCATAGCTCCGTGCCCCTGTTCGCTCACATCCCGTACTTGTTGGACTACTGGCTTCACAGCTTCTGACCTTTTTGGTGTGGAATATTGAAATAGAGTGAGGTTTGTCTATTTGACGTCAATAAAATCCGTATTGTTAGTACCGTTGTGAACAAGAAACCCGTTCCCCAATTAGCGTCTTTTGGATCACGACTCGTTCACCTACACGGATTGTCGCAGTCTATGAAACTGACAGAACCATGTTGCAAAACACATTTTTATTCAGTTGGATTTGATTGGTTTCCAGAGAGAAACACCAGATGTGAACAATCTGAGACAAGATCACTGGTGTCAAGGAAGCAAAATCACAGGAAACATAAACCGCAAGGCGATAAAACGTACAAATGGATTTTTGACGGGAATTTTCGTCTTGCTCCGGAGTTCAGGGGCTGTTAGAAGGATGGATGAAAACAGAACAATTATTATCGCATTGTACTGGGCGTAGATAACCGTAAGAAATCATTTGAAAACATACTGAAAATCTTCGTTCGGTGGGCGGGGCACACACTGATGACTGTTTGAAGGTGCGGCTTAAAGCATGAATTTGGAGCACAATAAGTGTGTTCTCCAAACCGGTACCTACGATACCGTAGACATAAGGAAGCATCTCTTTTGCTGGGAGATTTGCTTTGGTGTTCATTTGGCACAGCTGATATTCTCCTCAATCGGGAACAGAATAACATCTCATAACTGGAATTGTGTAGGCTCATCACTGCGTGGTGCCTCCCGAAGATCAAGGTGCCGTAATTCTCCTGATTAAAATGCGAGTTGATTTGTTGTTAGAATACCACTGCTATCGTTCCACAGAGAATATCACAGACGCATCTTGACGGGCTAACGGACAACCCGGTTCATGAATGATACATGGAGGTTCGATCGATATATGTGGTCTGGCCTGATTCGCCTCCAGAATAATTCGGCAAGCCTTTTTTTGATCGCGAACCATATGTCGATGTTTGTTTCTTCGATGATGATGATTTGGCGGATGACGATGCCATCTTCCATCGGTCTGCGGTGGCTGACAGGTGATCCAGCGGAGAACCGATTGACGAAGTCGGTGGAGGACTAGGAAGAATCCTTTTCGAAACTGACGACCAGTCATGTAGACAATGAAATTCATACAGTTGTTCAGGAACAGTAAAAATCGGCAAAGATCCTCAGCCGCATGTACTGCATCGTAGTGATTGGATGCTCCTTTGTTGACTTTATGGAACTGAAAGAAAAAGACAGCGATTATCGGATCAGAGTTTGTCTTCAGATTGAAGGAAATCAGAAAATTGGTTATTCACAGGTGCTTGTTTCATTCAAAATAATTAATAACAGGTATAGCGGGGACAAAACAGATGTACCGATAGATTTGATTAACCGCATCCAGTTTGTTGTTGCTCTCTATCCACTATCTTGAGGTTCGAACCTCGTCGCTGTCCCATTTAGTTGTTGACATCAGCTATTCAATGGCTGGAGAGTATCAATTGAATAATGTTTGCGCATCTATTAAGCGTTGAGTAAATATGATATATATGATGTGACGTGATGTGAAACTGGTTTTTGAGAAATGAACATGCCGTTTTGGAATTATTTATGTTACGATTCCCCGCTGGTTTGCGTAAACTGAGAAAATGGTGTTTGCATTCACTGGCAGTAACAGTCCATTCTCAATATTTTTCTTCGCGCCAAAACAAATTTGAAACTGCAACAGCCCCAAGGTCATAATAAACACCTATCCCCAAGAAGTGGTCTTCCGAGTACCGAACGTTCCAGATCATTGATGCTCAGTGTCACTGAATGTGTTGATGTTCCTTTTCAGCCATAAAACAGCCACTTATTATCATATTCTTCTATTTTAAAATTCCAAATTATAGTCTTGCTACGTTTACTTAACAACCGAATAATCATCAATTGAAAAGAAAACATGTGTTTCGCAAGGACCTCTAGCTGCAACTCTAGCGTGTTCTACTCTACTTGTAACGGATCATTTAACGGAACCTTTTTTCTCACTGTCAATAAAGAAAGTGCGTGTTTCGTAATTGAACCTTTGTGGGATATGTGGATGAGTGGAAAATATTTCAAACACTTTTTCTTTCACTTGCATTGCTATTTGACATACATTTAAGGTAATTTTATTGATCACTTCATTGTGGATGGAGCCAAACCAATTGTTACTGCTCGCACTGAATTTCGACCAGATTATGGATTTCGTGATAAATTGATTTCACATAATTTTCGTGCGTTTGCTACGTCTCCATGCTATGATACAGTTTTTATATAAGGACTGTTTTACGTTCAGGATTATCATTACTACTGTTAATTAAGCTTAATTAAGGTTTTATTTCTAATCCCATTACCCAAGGACTGTGTACGCCAGATGTGTAGCTGTTATTCCATTCCACAGATGAGATAGGTGTAAAGCTGGTTTGGAAATTTACAATAGTCAGCACGAAAAAATGTCCATAAATGCGAGCAGTTAATGCAAAAAGGGGTCAACATGTCCACTTCTTTGTTCTATGGGTATATGAATATTCCAGTTTGTCTATTTGTAACATGAGATCATGCCTTGTGCACCACAGTGCGAAAGGAAAGCACTCCTGCTGAAAACCATTTAAGTTAAACAGTTTTTATCGTGCCCGGCTGACAAACAGATTAGGCTCACCTTGCAGAACAATCGGTTCAGAAGGTATGCGTGAATTTTGTTCTCTAGTTGTGAATTACAGTAGTCACTACGGTAGCCCACAACGATTCGCTCGACCGCGAGTGTACCTAAAGGTTTTGGAGGCTATCTTATTGCGGTGTGTTCATCGCTGTGCTTACAAACGATGCAACTGAACCTTGTCATCACCTGTACATTAGGCCGTAACACACTTCTAGTCCGATCCACCCAATGCGTAGGGCGTTTGTCCCTGTTCTGTCTCTCTCTCTCTCTATCTTTATTTCCACAGGCTCATTACTTAAATTCAGCGTAACAGTTGAAGTTATTTGCTTCACTTCCCTTGTTTGATGCACCGCATAGTACAACGAGTTTGACTCTTGAATGGCAAATGAGGTACATGTGAAATCGGGTTTTTTGGATAATTTGAATCCAGCATATAATGAAGTTCAGCCCATACAAAGTAAACGGGTCCCATCAGCCGGTAAGAACTACTTACCCAAGTGAGTTTTGACTCGGGCACCTTATAACTAAATGGCAAGCACATCACCCAGAACGTTTGTGTTGAGATAAGCAATGTGTGATACGCCCAAAATCCTGGCAGAGGTAAGTCCTGATAGACAAAATGAAAGCCAATTAAGAGTATCAAGCTTGGGTTAGCCCATTCGCTTGTTCAGAGGCGCCAGGCACTCTTGATGGTCTTCGGTATGGGTTTCACTCCTTGGGCGATTGTTAATTCCCCACTGCTTTCATGCATTTAAATGCGATGGAGATGTTTGTGATAATCAACAAATAGTACTGGACAGCTGTTTCGTCCTGTTTGGAACTCGTCAGTATTGCGTACTTTTTGTATCCCTGTCAAGACTCGAACCGCGAAGGAAGAAGATCTGCTAAGGAGAATATTGCTACACAAGGATTACCCAGAAAGGCTTAAAGATATTCATAGTAGACCATTTCCAAAAGGTAACCCATCCGAAAACGTCAGTAAAAAGGCCATCCAGGGGTGATCACATTTAACATGTTGTGCGCCAGAGGTTGAGGTTAGCTCTAGACCGCACATTCCCAGCTGCTGAACTCAGACTCATTGCCTCCACTCGTGGAATCGATTTGGACAAACGTAAACATGGCTGGCAAACCAGTTCCGTCTCACACACTGTATACCAGTTCACCTGCAGTTGCGGTGACGTGTACATAGACAGAAAAAACCGTCAGCTGTCACAACGGATGGCCGAACATATTCCAAAGTGGTTGGTAAAATCGATGACGCAACCGGCAAATGACGGTCAAGTGATGGCAAGAAATCCAGGATCATCTGTTGCAAAACATCTCATGGCAACAAAACACACAGTTGACCCCAATTCGTCTTTCAAACCACTATTACGTAATCGAAATGCAAAACTTTCAGCAATTAGTGAAGCACTGCTTATTCGTTTACATCACCCGACCCTATGTGCACAAAAGTTTTTGATACAAGCGATCCACTTACCGTGGAGCTGACCTTCTACTTCTAAATTTAGTAATCATTGTATGCTTGTACACGTTTGTTCACCAAAATTGATTCATCCGATGTGCTATATATGTGCCTATTTGTTTTAAGTTAGCGACTGAGAAGATTAAACGAAATGTTAACATCTCTCGACATTTGTCTTCTTTCTGTCTTGATGATACAATGCGATTGACAGTTAGTGGCGAGAATTTCAAATCTGAGTCATGTCAAAATGGCACGTGCACAAACATTACTGGTACTCTAGTGCTTTCCGATCGTTACTGATGCAATCCACGATTCCATACGTACCGCGTGACCCAGGCCATTGTTTGTTGTTACAATAACTTAAAAGTTGTTCGACTGATACGAAAAACTAAAGCATGAACGTCATGATATAATAAGGAAACTGCTTATTCGACTTGCCTATCTTCGTAAAGAAGGTAAATCAATCAATTCACTCACGTGTTCCAATTCGACGTAGATATGATAGGGTAGCGTCAGTCCGATAAAAGTGAATGTGACGACCAACAGTAAAATGGTGGTTCTCTTCTGACCAATCCAAAATCCTGAACTGGAGCTCTGTGTTCTTTTGCGAACCCCTGAGTATGTGACCGGTCTGGACTGACCTAGGTGTCCTGGTTGGTTTTCTTGAACTACAGCTGCATGATTCATGCGCATCGGTTTTTCAGCCCGACCATCGATTTTGGCTGGCACGTTTCGTTCGTCACACAAGTGCATACATTTGGCAATACAGTCATTGCTGTTACAATTTGTACTGTCATGTACCAGAGTGCTGGTTGCGGGCATACACGGATTCGCCGGATGCTGATCTTGACCATTTGCATCGTGGGCACTTTGGCCAATGGGTTCTGGACCGCAGATGATAGTTTGCACATTTTGAAGGGGAGTTACGTGCTTACAATTACTGTTGTTCTGTATCTGATGATTGGAACTGGGAACCTCCCATTTCCTATTGACTCGGGGTTGATTGATGACAACCAAGGGTATGGTTGCAGTCGATTTTCTTTTCACTGACCAGCTCGAATGATTGTAACAGTTAAGTCGAGGAAACCAGCTTGCACAACCGCTAACTTTTCTCAAATTAGTCTGTTTGATCCTGTGGATACTGGAACGTGGTGTCGGCTTATCAACCCATTCGGCTAGATCGACGTTTTTGTTGGCCGGACACGAGNGACACGAGCACAAATAATGTATCAGGATCATGTTGAATATGAATGTGATCAGATACGGAATGATTCCGAACACGAACAAATGTTGCCGACTGAGCCATAGACTGATCCAACGTGCTGTAGGACTCTCCACCGCTTCTCGTATGGAGATCACCTCCAAGTCCTCTTTCGGCACTTTGGGAACCGTGGCTATACCAGTCACTGTCGGTCCGAACAACGGATTTGTTGCTGGTAAATTGGTAGATTTTGGCCACAAACTGTCCAATCCACCAAATATACAAAAGTGGTTCAACTGTGAGATTGTAAAGAAAAAAGAAAAAGGACGGTCGTTGAATCGCCAAACAAAACATCACTGCGGAAGAGTGCACTAAGGAAACACACTAGCTGCGAAATCAGTAGTATATTCCAATGAAAAAGAAGAGCTGTGTACTTTTAGTGAATCAAATGTTTTATATCTGGTCTACTGGAGTGTGAAAGAAAAATAGTCCACATAGTGAAGGAACTTAAGACAGCGATTTCTCGGAATACCCGAATTTATTCAACTTGTAACGTTCGGTGGTGAAATACCTAATGGGTTAACTGTAGAAGGCAGCGTTTACTCAGTGTTTTCGTTTGCATATGAAAAAACCACGCTTTCTTCTGCAACAGTCTTCGATCTCCGCCTCAGAGATTTTGCTTGCTCAGTTAATATTACTGGAAAAACAATCCATTCGCAAAACCTAAATAGGGACATTGAAAATCAAAGTTTAGGAGATTTTTCTACTCTCTCATTTTTCAACAGCATTGAATGAATAAAATCAATAGAGAAAGGACATAAAATGAGGTAGTAGAAATATTTTCAAGCTAGACACAAACCGGGTGGCTAGTACTGAGACGAGCTAGGTGGGGTGTCCGTAAAAAGCTTGCAAAGATTGGCTGTGCTATATAGAGTAGAGACAAAAAACGTTAGTATGCTCCATCAAATCAAGCAACTGGTTACATCCCCACTTGTGTTCTACCCGCGCATCACGACTCCCGTCGGTTCTGCTAATATGTCTCGTCGTATTCATAGATAAAAGATAAGTACAATGACTCACTGAGAGGTGTATTGCTGGTCTGGCTATTCGGTCACAAGATTGAGCTATGTGAACGACGACAAACAAAGACCGAAAGTATTTTGAACATGCTGAAATCCGATGCACGACTGATCTTCGAATTAATATGGTTTGTCTTGTAAGATAATTTCATGGGAAAATGCCTAATTTCCACCGGGATAATGGGTAACTGCTTACAAAAATGCGGTAGTAATATTCATCGAAAGCCGTTTTTTGCGTAGTCATTTGAGCATAAAAGTCCCCACAAAAACCTAAATATTGTTATCTATATGGTGTCATTAGTAAAATTTCCGTCGTGCCAGATAGGCTAGATTAGTTCAAACTAACGAATGTTTGTCATGGTTGGTGAGAAACTGTGTACCACTAGGTGCTTTGCACCGCCCGTGGATGCTTTTATCTAGGTGCGTAAGCAGCTTGAAAATACTGGTTTAATTGCACCATTTCAGTTTATGTCCCCCAGGCTATTGCGCTACTTTAGGTCCTCAAGCAGCGCTATTTGGGTAGTTTTCACCAAATGAAACCATCTCGCGTACAACTACAGAGCTGTTTCGAAAGTCGTCATCCAAACTGAATACTCGCGTTATTTTCACCACGTTCTTCCATGCGTCTCAATGTGTGTTGGAATAAAAAGAAATATTATTTTTATTACACACTTTTGTTTAATGAAAAGCAGACGGGGTAAACTCCATATTTACGAGGACCTGTTGTTCAGTGATGGAAACCGGTAACCTAAGCCCCGGGACTTGAAGTGATGAACCACATACGGCCCCGATAGGTTAGGTGTGGTACTGAACCGGACGACAGCAAAGCTACCCACCACTAAAGTTGGTTGGCGGTGGCAGGGCTCAAACCTTGGATCACAAGGTCCAAAGCACTCTGATGATAGCGACTAACCACTGCGCCACTACCATCCTGCTTCATATTGCTATTTGAACTCACAGGATTCAGTTGGAACATGGCGATCAAAAATGAGTAACCAGAATAACAAATAAGGTATTATGCGGCTCCGTGCTATGGCGAATGAAGGGCATAGCTGTTTGGAGACTGATCAGCGTCGAATACAGCTCTCCGGCCCCTGATATGTACCAACAGAGACGAACCAGTTACCAAGTTATCTTTGTCGACCATTACGCTAAATCTTCCACAGATAATATGCACTAAACTCCCAGAATCGACATTCTTTCGATAAAATCGATAAAATTTGCGGAGTTTTATCTGACTATAAATTTTTAATGATTACTCAACAGATCCATAAAATGCATGGGGTGATTTTGAGGAAAATTTCAAAAAGTCTAACATTCTCGTGAAAGCTTCTATGCATGAAAGTCTTTGAATATTTCAGGGTGTCTCTAGACAATCTCTCATCAATTACAGTACTTCTCAGCTAGGGATGACTCATATATGCTCGCCCGTTACTAAAACTACCCAATCAGACGTGCCACGTACCTCTTCTCCCTGAGTAAATGTAATCACCTTCTGTTAACCTTTATGATCAAATTTCATACCAGCAAACTTAGGATGACTAAAACCCGCTCTCATTACATCACATTGCTCATTCCTGCTTATTGCACGACGGTAAGTGACATCCCAATCAATATAGTGGCCGCTACACTAACTACCACGCTGGATTTCAGTTTATTTCTCACAATAATTAAAACCACACCATCGCGCTATCGTTTCGGTTGCGGTCTTTCAGCGTCCTCTCTGTTCGAAGAACCCCGGCGGAACAATTAGAATAAATCAGTATTGGGACTACAAACAGAAAAAAACCATTGATGTGCGTGGAAAGTGCTGCATGACTACACTGTTTGAAACGCTCAGGCACTTCATTCACTCTCCATAACAATCGGTCAGATTCGTCACGTGGCACTCAACTGTTAAATACTATTCAACCGGGAATCCCGATTAAGATTTTTGTTCCCCCCGGCTAGGTTTTATTCTGGCCACCCAGCGTGGCTGCTCTGAGCTGGAATCCGTTTGCGTTTTCCACTTTCCACCCTCCAACTCTTCCAGGGATGATCTGAAGTCTTCTGATGTCCATCGGCTATGTTCCTGCACTTCTTTCCCCGTCGTAAACTGAGCTGTATTCAAAAATCAAATGTGTGTATCAGTGTCTTATGTATCGGAGTGCCGAAAAGAGATATCGCTTCATCAACTCCGTTTTCTAAATCTGGTCTGGCCGCAAAAACAACTGCTTTCAAACTGTACACGGAGCCTTTGATCTTGTGGAATCATATCAATATTCTGTTTCAGCACGTTAAACCTTGTAATTCGATTGTTCATAATGTGGGATGTACATCTGTAATATAATTCTCGCGGAATGAATTGGTTTTGTTGTGTTATAGGTTCTCCGCTACGAAGGATTTACCTGATTGGGTTGCACCACATATGGCCTGTTGAATATTCATTCCATAGACGGGGCAAAAGCTCTTGGTTTATCAGTGCAATTTCTAGGCGATGAAGGGTATCTACAGCATCACCATATCCGACACGGGGCGTTCTGTGGTATGCTTTCGTTTATACACGGACAGTAGCACGTGATAACAGTTCGTTTCCCCTCTCTCTCTCTCTTGCTCTCGCTCTCGTTCGCTTGTTCAATGTATACATTCCTTCTTACAGGACGGCGAGCGGGTATTTGTGGCTACACCAAATGTCTGATAATCTTGTAACCGGGACGAGTACACGTCAGTAGTGGGGGCCCAAATCTCAGCCGGAAGTCCGTGCCCGATCAGAACCAAACAAGCCACACCCCACGGTGTGGGTGTGTGATGCAAACCAGCCGTGAAGCATAAATGAAATAACACTTCACAGGGTGTGGAACACTGGTATACCAAAAGCCCACTGAAATGCCGACCCATATCCGTTTTTGTCGCTTCATACAGTGCACGTTTCAGTGAGAAAAACCGACCCGTGTTTTTTCCGCGGATGAAGCCATGGCTCGAGAAAAAGAGCGTGTGAATGGAATAGTGGACAACAGAATAGAAGAGAGCGAGAGTGCGCGAAGGAGGGGTGGCGTTTAGGACCAGGGACACAACGAGCCGGAGGGACTTTGGCCACAAGGAGCCAACCAAATCTTATATAGATGCTAATCAACATCCGACCGTCAACTGCAACATTCTATCGTGGACTATGAACTCGTATGTTTTCCACTACTGCCCGTGAGCAACACAGAGTAGAGCATACGGTTATGGGACGCACCAAACAAGGACTGATTGTATGTATGTTGACCTGGTTACCAGGCGTACTGTGCATTTATTATTAAGTACTGGATGTCAAAATACCGCTTCCGTCGATATGTATAGATAGGACGCAAATGACATAGTATCTTGTCAAACTGTGAGCAGTTAATCAGGCAAAAACACTTGGAAAGCCAGGGGTTCTCTCATCTGGTGTTTATCCCAAACACAAGACCAGTTGAAACCCCGAATAGCTAAAAACACACANACACACAAAGGCAATCACCAATCAGTGATCTGTGTCCAATGTTTTCTTAAACATAATTATCCGTTCCCTTTTAAATGCCATTATCAAATTGTGTGATGTTCTCTTAGCGTTAAACGTTCAACACTGAGGGCAAATAAACAACCGATGATTTGCACAAGTGAAATCAATGATGTAGTAGGTGGATACCGAATAAAGACAACTGGCAATTCTGATCTCCCCTAAATATGTAACGATTTTAATCGAAATTTTATCATCATTTTTGCATCGTGTAGCATACATGCCGTATGAGAAAATCTCAATGAGAATCACACATTTGCCACATTGTTACCAATCATACAAATGACATGCTCTNCAATTGAAGCAAACAACTAGGCAAAAAGTGATCAACAATACGGCATTGTCGCTAACATCAGTGCTTTGTCACTAATACGTTTTGTCAACGTAATCGATGATGTACCATGGCTATCACCATCATCACGATCATCATCATGACTACCATCATGAATCGAGGTGATAGTTGTATGGTGGTTGTTCAGGATAAAAAAACCTTCCTGCCTTTGTGATGCTGTGAACATTGGAAACAGGTCGGCATGTAAAATGAGAAACGGTACAGGACAGATGAGGCTGTCCCCTTGTTAGCGCTTCATTCTGGCAAGCGCTGAACCCAGGAAAAGAAATCATTTGAAGTTCTCATCGTTGCAAATCTATCCACTGGTAACTGGTTTGGTCAAGCTAACGGAAGAAAAGACACAAA